GACCCCCAAAGCCCCCTCCCCAATTCGGGGTGCCCCCTCACCCCGTGCGGCCGCAGCACCCCCGAGTAGAGCGCGCTCGGGGGGGGCCGCACGTGCAGCTCGGCCTCGTACGCCCCCCCCTCGCCCAAATTCCGCGCGTGGAACGTCAGGTTCAGACTGTTCCTGTCCCCCAGGAACACGGCCCGGCGGTCCCTGGGGGGGACACGGGGGTGACATCCTGGGGACATCCCAGGGACACCCCCAGAGCCACCCGAACCCCCCCAGAGCCACCCAGGGACACCCCAGGGACATCCCTGAACCCCCCCCGGAACACGCAGTGTCCCCCGTGTCCCCCAGACAGGGGGGTGACATCCCGGGGACATGGGGGTGACATCCCGGGGACATCCCGGGGACACCCCTGAGCCCCACCAGAGCCACCCAGGGACATCCCTGAACCCCCCAGGAACACGGCCCGGCGGTCCCTGGGGGGGACACGGGGGTGACATCCCGGGGACACGGGGGTGACATCCCGGGGACATCCCTGAACCCCCCCCCGAACCCCCCCTGGAACACAGCCCGGCGGTCCCTGGGGTTGGGGACAGCGCGGTGACATTCCCAGGGCCCCCCCGGCTCCCCCCGGTGTCCCCCGGACCCCGGGACATGCCCCGATGTCCCCCGGTGTCCCCCGGTGTCCCCTTACGCGGTGGCCTCGAGCTGCAGGTCGGGCACGCAGACATTGTCCTCACCACAGTCCAGCTGGATGTGAGCCTGGGGACAGTGGGGACATGGGGACAGCCTTGGGGACAGTGGGGACATGGGGACAGTGGGGACATGGGGACAGTGCAGACATACATGGGGACATGGGGACAGCGGGGACACAGAGGTGATCCAAGGGACACGGGAGGGACAAGGGGGTGACACACAAGGACACACAGGTGCCACACAGGTGCCACAGGTGACACACGGGTGACACGGGCTACCTTGGCCTCCAGGCGCGTGCGCGTGGCCGGGGACAGCAGCGGGGACAGCCCCGGCGGGGGAGGGGACACGGCCGGGTCCAGCGCCAGGCTCAGCGACACCGGGATGGGCGACAGCTTGTCCCGGAACTCGGACTCGTTCTGGGGACACGGGGACACGGGGGGGACACGGCTGGCACCGGGGGTGACACCGGGGGGGGTGACACGGGGGGTGCCGGCGGTGACAGGAGTGGCCCCGGGGTGACACCGGGGGGTGACAGGGGTGACCCGGGGGTGTTTTGTGGTTTCTCGGGGTGGGTTTCGGGTGTGTTTTGGGTGTTTTCCGGGTGTTTTGGGGCTGTTCTGGGGTCCCGGGGCTGTTCTGGGGTTTTTCGGGTGTGTTTTGGGTGTTTTGGGGCTGTTCTGGGGTTTCTCGGGGTGTTTTTCGGGCTGTTTCCCGGGTGTTCTGGGGCTGTTCTGGGGTTTCTCGGGTGTATTTTTGGTGTTTCCCGGGTGTTCTGGGGCTGTTCTGGGGTTTTTCGGGTGTGTTTTGGGTGTTTCCCGGGTGTTTCCCGGGTGTTTTGGGGCTGTTCTGGGGTTTTTCGGGTGTGTTTTGGGTGTTTCCCGGGTGTTTTCTGGGTGTTTTGGGGCTGTTCTGGGGGTTTTCGGGTGTGTTTTGGGTGTTTTCCGGGTGTTCTGGGTCTGTTCTGGGGTTTTTCGGGTGTGTTTTGGGTGTTTTCCGGGTGTTCTGGGGCTGTTCTGGGGTTTCTCGGGGTGTTTTTCGGGTGTTCCTCGGCTGTTCTGGGGTCCCCCTTACCCTGAGGAACACCCGCAGGGTGCGGCAGCGCGGGGTCCCCCCGTTGGGGACCTCCAGGGACAGGTTCCGGCTGGGGGAGGGGGGGGTCCCCAGGAACAGCGCGCGCCGCGCCCCCCCCGGCCTGGCCCCGTCCACGCTCAGCTCCAGCGCCAGCCCTGGGGACACCGCGGGGACACCGCGGGGACACCTCAGCGACAGCCCCCGTGTGTCCCCGTCCTGTCCCCGTG